TGCCGTGTGCCCCGGGCAACTGGAGTACCGCACACACCAGCAGCAGTGCCCACGACCTCATCGTGTTCACGCTGCAGATTTCCCACGGAGGGCATGATGAGCAGCGGCAAATGGGAAGAAAAGCTTGTTGTATTGACAGCGAAAGAAGCACAAAAGCGACGGCAATGACGGCAACACGAGTGTTAACTGTAGTCCACACCATCGCTCGTGCTCCTCCCGGTCCATCCCGACGACTGAGCTTCTTGTTTGCTGTGCGGGCAAGTTGGTGTGGGCCACAAACAGCTGCTGACTGCCTGTACAGAACGTTGAGGGTCACTCGTTCTTTCTACCAAGAAACTGGGAGAATTGTGACCCCTGAGTTTCTCAAGTCGCCAAATTATTTTGAGGTGGATAGCCGCCACTGCCGCTGTCAAGACTGCCGTGGGCTTTAACCTTTTCGGTATCTACCCAACCTTCGTATCCCAGGAAAAGGCCTCAAACACCCAGAACGCGGCGAACGCCATCGCGGCTACAGCGAAGGGGTACTACGACTCCGACAACGCCTTTAACTTCTACCGGCAGGTGCGGCGGCTATCTGTTGTGTGTGTAAGTGCGTCTTTGGCCAGCTGGCCAATGACTCGACGTCTGTCTCAGCGAACCTAAGCCTGGAGCGCTTCCTGGTGGTGTGTGTGTGTGTGTGTGTATTTGCGTTGTCGTTGTTGGGCACGAACCGCGCTAATCGTGTTAGTATATATATTACAAGGTTGTCGGCGTAGAGGACGAGTGCATGACGGCGTAGAGGACGAGTGCATGACGGGCAAGCTGCTGAAGAAGCAAGCAAGGGGAAGTGCGGCAACAGGTGGTTCCGGTTGCGTTGCCTGTCGCCAGCCTGCTGTACACCCCGGCGAAGTACAGCAAGAGCGGCGGCCAGGACAAGAGGCTGTGCCTGTCTGCTCCCAGCCAGCATACGAAACTCCGTCCGTGGGGAAGTGCGTAAACGAAGACACGAAAGAAAGTCTGTGAGCTTTTCCACGCTGCCTGTTCCATACAAACGCCATCGCCTGGGACACACCCAACCCAGGGCTTAAACATTCGAACCAATCCGTGGAAAATGGCATCGTTATTTCAGTTGCCTCGTCAGTTCAAGACAAAAAAAAGCACGCAGGCAGCAAAAAAAAAACAGCACCGTTTGCGATGTGTGACCTCATCGCCCTTTTTTAAAGGTGTGGGGCGGGGAGCACATCCACGTGGGCCTGTACAACAAGCTCGAGGGAGAGGACGCCAAGCTGGAGGGGGTGGACCGCATCACCAAGGCCAGCTCCTTGGGAACCGAAGAGCTTCTCTCGCGGTGCTTCCCCGCAGGCGCCACCAGCAGCAGCAGCAGCGGCGAAGGGGCGCTTCCCGCTTCGGGGTGCACGATGGTTGACATGGGCTCCGGGTACGGGGGCACGGCGAGGGTGGCAGCCAAGACGCTCGGCTGCAAGGCAAGTCTCTTTTTTTTTTTTTTCATTCCGCTCTCCGCCTTTTTTTTTTTTTGTAACAGCCAAGACGCTCGCCTGCAAGGTAAATCTCTATATTGTTTCAGTCCACACTTGGCCGTTTTTTTTTTCTCTTCTTGTAACACAAGGACTGCTATCCACGGAAAAGAGTCTACATGATACTTTGTTATTCATTTTTTTACAACCGTCGCTCTCAGTGTCTACCTCGTTCATGGCCTCTTCTAACGATGGCTGGAACAGCATCCTTGTATCAGGTTCTTCAGGAGGGCACACGGAAGAAAATTCTCTGCGGAACATGCCTCCCTTTTCCTGTTTTTGGCAACGCATTTGCTACGGCCGTATATTAACGATCTTCGAAAAAATTGGTCCAAGGCAACCAAAAACGATTTTCTGGGTTTACCAGGTGTTGGTGCGAAGAGGGCCACACACAAGCCCGATTTTTATCTCAGCCACCAACGGCAGACCCGGACGTACGTGACCACCAGAGAGCACGCACACCTTTCCTTCCACGAATGGTCTCATCTAGGTATTTGATTGACCCATCGAACGACCGCAGCCCCGTGTAGGAACTCATGCCCCCCCCCGCCCTTCACGCCGTACAGGTGGTGTGCATCAACGTCGCCTCCAGAGAGAACGGCGTCAACGCCGCGCTGAACAAAGCCGAGGGGCTCGAGGACATGGTGAAAATTGTTTTGTTGTAGTTCATGGCGAAATGACGAAAGAGTTATGGTGAATGTTGCAAGAAAAATGCTTATTTTTTGTCCAACAAGCGAAGAATTATGTTTTGGTGGATGTGGGTGGATTGTGGATGTATAGGAAAATGACGATTTTCCAAAACAGGACCACACCGGGTTTATTTGGAATGATTTGCCCTCGACCAGAACGCGTTGTTTGAAAATCGTCTTGTGGCCGTTGTACCTGGGTCGGTTATATTCCTGCTCTGACAGACGTGTGTTCCGTAATCCCGTCGGTCTCTGCGGGTGGAGGGAGGCCTAACTGCCGCGGGTCGGGTGCGAAATTTTAGGTGGTGTTCGGCGAGTTGCTCACGCGTGGAGTCGCCGGAGAAAATGGCGTGTCCTGGGTGCCTGTGTCGTTGCACAACGGATTTTCTTTTTGGTGTTGACTGCGTATGTGTACGACAGCACGCCAAGGGAAGAGGACGTGACTGGAGACAGAGAGGACAGAATACGCCGCGTCGTTCAAGCCAGCAACACAAAAACGCCACCTCAACATCACCCTCTTCTTCCACCCCGAACTACTGCAATACCACACACCGCCACCAACTCTTCAGGTGATCATCCCCGGAGAGAAGTCGTTCTTCGAGACGGGCATGCCGGACGCCAGCTGCGACGTGGTGACCTCCCAGGACGCTCTCCTGCACGCGGGGTCGGAGCGGCACAGGGCCCTCGGAGAGGCTGCCCGCGTGCTCAAGCCCGGCGGGAGGATGGTCTTCACGGACATCATGCAGGCGGAGCACGCCAAGCCCGAGGACCTTCAGGAGGTGGGTTCGAGAAAGGAGGGGGCGGGGGGGGGCGTACTGATGTTTTGCTGTTAAGACCATTGACCACACGCGTCCTCGAGCGGACGGAGCATCGTTCCCACAACCGATGACCAATCGTTCCTTCCTACTTGCGAGGTGGGGTTAGGGGACGGGAGGCCCTTAAAACCTAGCCCACCCTTTCGACAGGCCGGTTGACTTTCGTTGTTTTTTTTATGTCAGCACGGATAGTGTGGTCTCCACCCCCCCCCCCCCCCCCCGCCGAAGATTTTTTTTTACGACGAGCGGATGTGGCTGCTCTCTTCTTCTTACTTGCCGCAGCAGCGTGTCTACCGGTTGTACGCAATCGCACCAGCAGCGATGGTTCTTACCCGCGAAGCCTCTATTTTGTTTTTTGTTTCAGGTGTACCAACGCATCCATCTGGACGACATGGCCACGCCTCAGGCTTACGCCAAGTGGGGCGAGGCCCACGGGCTCGAGTTCGTCGAGTTCGTCGACATGACGGCCAACATCGAGACGCACTACGGGTCGGTGAGTCATCTTGCTTCCGTGATTGTTGTTGCGTATCAAAAGTGTTGTGGAGATGGCAGGTGAGCCATGTTGCTTCCGTGATCGTTGTGCGTACAAGGCGCGCGCTTCCGGAAGGTGGGCTCACAGTGGCAGTGTCGTCAAGGCGTGATGAACGATGGAAGGGAGTAAAGCACTAGTGGCGTGAATCAGCTGCCAGCTGCGACCAGTCACGTTTCCCGAGCTCGAACAGCTCACGTATTTTTGATTCGAAGAGCCCCACGAACCAAAAAAGACATACGAATCTGAATACAGTCCTTTCAACAGTGTTGTACAGATTACCTCGAAAAATGGGTCACACTATCTTCAGGATTGTTACATGGTATGAGTTGTGGAGATGGCCTTGACAAAGGGTGACACCATCTTTCGTGATGCATACGAAGAGTGTTGCGAAGATGGCCTTCAGAAATGGCCACCATATCTATCTCCCCCAGGGTCTTTCGAGAGCTATAGCGAAGCAATGCACAAGGTGCCTTTTCATTTGTTGTGTCGAAGGGAGTGGCTTTCTCAGGAGAAACAAGGCGCAGCACTCGCAGGGGGGCACATCACTCTCTCCCTCTCTCTCTCTCTCTCTCGACCTCGTAGCTCTGCTGCGGTCACGCTCAACAATGTTTTCTTGTACACACCCCTTTCACGGCTTGTAACAATGTGCTTATTGTACCTGTTGGTGTGCGTATGCATCTGCCTACTGTAGATAGTTCTGATTTTTTCGGGTTGGCTCTTGAAAAACAAGATATTTTTCCACAAAGGCTCTAAAAAGAGATGTGCAGACGATGACCTTTCAGAAGGGTCAGTCGCGTCTCCCCAACGTCTACCCGGCCCTCCAGGGGGAGGATAGGACGCTTGATTCCCTCTTGTCACTACGAAATGAAGGCCGTCTAAACCTCTCTTTTGACGCGCCAAACAAATTGATTTCATCTGTTGTTGTTTATTTGTCGAAGGGAGGTTATTTCTGGTTCAAAAACGGATTCGGAGTTGTCACCAACACGTTGTTGCTGTTCTACAGGTTATTGCCACATTTCATTCAAAAAGATCAACCAAAAGAGAAGAGAAGCGCATCCTCGTTTTTGAATTCGATATGAAGAGATGAACTAATTCGTGGTGGTTTTGGTTCGATAGAGATTCGTTCGTTGTAGGTTTTTGTTTGAAAAATAGCCTTGCTCGTCTTGTCCACCAGGTCCGCGATGTGCTGGTGTCGCGGCGCGGCAACCTGGATGGCGTGGAGGATGATTTCATCGACAACATGGCCAGGGGACTCGACGCTTGGACGTCTGCGGCCGGGCGCGACCTCATCCGCTGGGGATACCTGGTCTTTACGAAGCCGGTGAGCTTGCGTGATGGTGGTAGTGGTAGTTGGTCGGTGGCGGTGGTGGTATTGGTGTGATTGGGATGCTTGCGGTCTGTTGGGAAGCCAGCGAGTTGGTTGTTGTTGTTGACGGGAGTTGCGGGTTGGATGGCGTTTTTGCTTTGCGCCCGAAAAACACTTTCTAGCGCAACCTCTTAGAACGGAAACCAACCTGCAGACGACGTCGTGTACTTGGTTTTTTTATGGCCTACATAGCGGGGACAGTGCCCGTCTGATGCTTCGACGCGTAGCTCACACCCTCAATAGTAGTAGCGACGGTAACCCCGGGCCCCATGTACCCAAGGAGGCTTTCGTGCTCCAAATGCACGAACCGTTTTCCGGGGGGTCTCGCATAGTGTAGCAGTGACGCTTCCCCCCCCCCCCGATGAACACCATTTCCCATCCTCCGAACCCCCATCAACGCCACAACCACTTGTTTCTTGTTTTCGCGCACGTCCGCTGCCCGCCTGCTTCCTATCCCCCGTTGCTGCCGCGATAACTTCCCTTCTCTTGGTGATGTTGGACTTTTTTCTTTTTTTCTTTTTTTTTTGGGGGGGGCGGGGGGTTGTGTAGCAGGTGTAAGTAGCGGAACGCTGAGTTGGTCGAGTTTGGTCTCAATACCGAACACTCCCAGCGTCACGCTTCCCCCCCCCCGCGCTCTTCCGCTTCAGAATTATCTTCATATTTTTCATGTTTCATCTCTCTCCTTTCTCAGTTTCGGGTGCGCTGATGTATGAACGTTCATTGTGGGTGTCGTTGTGTTTGTTGTCCATCTCGAAATCAGAAGCCACATATTTATGTATTTCGCTTTAGTAGCTATTTTTTGTTGTGGGTCACGTGTCGCTTGTTTTCCACTAGCCGTGGGTTCAAGCCTCAAAGTGCGCGGAGGCGATGGATACCAAGCCTTATGTACAAGGCTGGAACATGAATGGAAGAAGGGTCGTGTTCACACCGGGGTTGTTGGCCATTTCATATGGTACATGTTCGCTTTGTGTTGTTTGCGGTTCTCTTGAGTTTGCTCTAGTTGTTGCTCGGTTTCGGAGCGCGAGAGTCCACTGCTTTTGTTTTTCGGGACTTCCTAGGTGTTGAGCTTCCTCTATGGTACTTGTGTCAAGCGCTCCCAATGGTGGGGGAAATGATGCATACTCCTAACATCAGGTTCACGCGAAGCTGACGACATGACGAAAACATGTTGGTATCTTCGCCAACCTCAATCTCTTTTACGTCTCTCTCTTCCATTTGTTGCAGTTGGTTGTGTGTTGTACGTTTACGTTCCTCAGATTCTCATTTCGCATGTGGAGGTAGGTAGGTAGCATCAACGCGCAGGGCAGGTATGTGTTTTCTTTGGGGGCAGAGGCATGCAGCGTTATCACAAAGGGGTTATATTCACAGGCGGCGACGCGACGAAGAACAGCTAGACCATCGAGGGTTGTAGGGCATCGTTCCC